GAACAGAAGTTGCCATCAGAAGTTGTGGGAGCTTCCTCACTGGAAGCTTTCAAGAAGAGACTGGACTGCCATTTGTCAGAAATGGTGTAGGGTCTCCTGCTTGGCTAGGGGATTGGGCTAGATGACCTGCAAAGTTCTTTCCAATTCTTGTTATTTTATTATTCAAACAAGCCATCCTTCTCAGCTTGTGGGCAACATTTAAAGCAAACCGCAAAAGGGGGTTTGTGGTTAATTTAATCATCCCTGCTAGCAAGGGACGAAAAGATAATTTGTAAGCAGCCCAGAGTTAAGACGGATGGCGAATAAATTTGATAAATAGATAAATAAATAAATAAAAAATAAAGGTACATAGTTCTTTCAAACGTTTTCTTTCTTTCTTTCAATTTGTTGGTTTTTGCCTAGGCTTTTCCATTTTCTCATCCTCCATACGATGAGCCACTGCCTTGCATTTCCAGAAAGCTGGGGCCTGACACATTAAAATGTTTATTTGCAACAGATTTAGAGATAAACAAAACAGGATGGCTTGGAGCAGCAAACCCCAGCTTTTTTTTTTATTATTATTTATTTTTTGGAGCTTGGGAGGCTGATGGCTTCCAAGTCCTCAAAAAGCCGTTCTGCATCAGAGAGAAACGAGCTTCGCCTTCTCCAGTTCAACCATGGCCAATAGAATAGCAGCATGAACTCTGATCATCGTGAACTTCTTTGAAAACCCCCCGATTTTGGCAGGAGAGGACAAGAGCCAAGCCAAAGGGAGCAGATGGGAGAAGACGACAGATGCTTATGAAATTGGCTTTATCCATATGCTTCCCCTCGTTTAACTCTTTATTATTTATTTATTCCTCTCCTTCCTTCCTTCCTTTCTTTCTTTTCTTTTTATCTTTCCTTCTTTCTTTTCCTTCCTTCCTTCCTTCCTTCCTTCCTTCCTTCCTTCCTTCCTTCCTTCTCTTTCTTTCTTTCTTTCTTTCTTTCTTTCTTTCTTTCTTCCTTCCTTCCTTCCTTTTCCTTCCTTCCTTCCTTTTCTCTTCCTTCCTTCCTTTCTTTCTTTCTTTCTTTCTTTCTTTCTTTCTTTCTTCTTCCGTTTCCTTCCTTCCTTCCTTTCTTCCTCCTTCCTTCCTTCCTTCCTTCCTTCCTTTCCTTCCTTCCTTCCTTCCTTTTCTCTTTCTTTCTTTCTTTCTTTCTTCTTTCTTTCTTTCTTTCTTTCTTTCTTTCTTCTTCCGTTTCCTTCCTTCCTTCCTTTCTTCCTCCTTCCTTTCCTCTTTCTTTCTTTCTTATCTTTCTTTCTTTCTTTCTTTCTTTCTTTCTTTCTTTCTTTCTTCCTTCCTTTCCTTCCTTCCTTCCTTCCTTCCTTCCTTCCTTTCTTTCTTTCTTTCTTTCTTTCTTTCTTTTCTTTTCTTTCTTTCTTTCTTTCTTTCTTTCTTTCTTTCTTTCTTTCTTTCTTTCTTTCTTTCTTTCTTTCTTTCTTTCTTTCTTTCTTTCTTTCTTTCTTTCTTTCTTTCTTCCTTTTCCTTCCTTCCTTCCTTCCTTCCTTCCTTCCTTTCTTTCTTTCTTTTTCTTTTCTTTTCTTTTCTTTCTTTTTCTTTCTCTTTAAACACGGAAAGTCAAATGGCATTTTCATAACTAATCCGAAAATGCAGAGTTTGTAGACACACTCCGAAACCCTAGTTCCCGAAAACGAATCGCAATGGAATGGTAGGCTTCGACTTACGACTGCAATGGAGCCCGATGTATCTGTTGCTAAGCAAGACAGCGGTTAAGTGAGCTTTGTACCACTTTAGAATAGAATAGAATTCTTTATTGGCCAAGTGTGATTGGACGCACAAGGAATTTGTCTTTGGTGTATATGCTCTCAGTGTACATAAGGAGAATAAAATACGTTCATCAAGAATATAAAGATACAACACTTAGTGATAGTCAAGGTTACTAATAAGCTATCAAATCGTACTAGGAAACGAGTAAAAACAATATACATTGAAAGATACAAGCAACATGGTTATAGTTATAAGTGGGAAGAGATAGTTACTAGGAAGGAAGAGAAGAAGAATAGTAATACCGTCTTAGTAAATTATTTGACAGTGTTGTGGGAATTATTTGTTAAGCAGAGTGATGGCATTTGGGAAAAAAACTGTCCTTGTGTCTAGTTGTTCTGGTGCGCAGTGCTCTATAGCGTCGTTTTGAGGGTAGGAGTTGAAACAGTTTATGTCCAGGATGCGAGGGGTCTGTAGATATTTTCCCAGCCCTCTTTTTGACTCGTGCAGTATCCAGGTCCTCAATGGAAGGCAGGTTGGTAGCCATTGTTTTTTCTGCAGTTCTAATTATCCTCTGAAGTCTGT